AACAGTGTTCAAATATTAACTAATTATATCAGGGTTCCCGTGGGGTCTTAAAAAGTCTTTAAAAGTCTAAAATTCAGAATGTTAAATTTAAGGCCTTAAAATGTCTTAAAAATGCCCAGATTTTCATCCTAGGTCTTAAATTTAATTTACCCAAGTCTTAAAATTCTTACCTACGTTCATTCCCAAGAAGTGTTGTCCGCAGAAAATAAAATAGTAAAACGCTGTAAAACTAATCCGTTGGTTATGTTTTCTGGTCTGCACCGATGTCTGCATAGTAATAAAACTACAAATAACATTGCGTGATCACTGCAGCTAGGCAACAACCAGTTTGAGAAGGGTCTGGCTGCAGAACGTGCACTCTCAGCCACTGATGTCAGGTGCATGCTCAGCTACAACAGGAAGTGCAGGGGAATCAAGCGCTAACTTAGTTCTCGAGGCCAATGTGAACGGTATGTTGTTTTATTATTTGTATTACTGAACGACATAGTTACAACTTTATTTCATGCCATACATTATTGCAATGTAAATGTTTTGATGTAGTGCGTTAGTAACTTTTTTTCTCTGATGACTGGAGTGATTTTTTTCAAAAAACTTATTTGAATAAAAATTTTAAAAATCTGATTAAAAGTCTATATGTCATGCCCAGCTCGTCCCGTGTGCCACGCCCCCTCGTTAACCCCATGTTTATCAGCTGTTTCCAGTTGTTTTCATTAGTCTGCATTAGGTATGTTTTCCCCAGGCATTGACGTCTGTCTTGCCTTTCTTCGATGTTCCTGTTTTGTCTCCCTTCTAATAAACCCTCGTTCACCGATCGCATCTGTGCTGCTTCTTCGGCGAAAGGCGTGAAACAGTCAATGTACAGCTAAAAATCAGACAGTTAGAGGTTTTTGTTACGTTCGTCGGACGGGCGAACGAGGAAGTAGGCGAGAGACCTCAAAAATACGGGGTTCAATCGGGGCAGACAGGCGACGAACATTAAACAATACAATGACTAATCTGGGAAGACTAACTCAGACGCGGACTAAATACACAGGACAAGCCAAGAGAAACAGGAAACAGGTGATGACAATCGGGAATTCACATGAGGTAACGAGGTTGGCGTGACACACGTGAGGATTGGACGAACTGGGCATAACAGAACCCCCCCCCAAAGGCGAGCACACCGGGCACGCCTCAGGGGAGGCGACGGACGAGACGAGGGAACAGGACCTGAAAGACAAAACCAAAACATCAGCGGGGCACCGGAAACAGAACAGACGCACAGAATAAACACAAAGGCAGAAGCCAGGACAAGACCCGACACAGAACGGGAAACGCAGACAAACAGATCAGGAAAGGAGACACAGGAGAAGGTGAGAAAGGCGGAACAAAAGGACCAGGAGTGAACGAAGGACCCATAGGAGGAGGAGGAGCAGAAACAGGAGGGACGAAGGGACGAGGAGCAGACAAGGGAGACCAGATAAGAACAAACGGACGGGGGACGAAGGGGAGCCCAAGGGGGCCCAGACGGGCGACGGGCGGCAGCCGGAGGGGCCGTAGGCGAGAGGGTGGCAGGAGCAGCAGGGGACCATGCAGGGGCCAAGGAGACGGGCCGAGGGAGTGACAGAGGGGACACAGAGGGAGCCAGAGGGACCACCGGCGCAGGCTGGCAGGAGGGAGAAGCTGCGGCAGGCAACGGCGCAGCTGGAGCCGGGGAAGGCGCCGTCCAACGCCCAGCCGAAGCAGGGGGGCCCGGAGGCGGCTGACACGGAGGTGGGACCGAGGACCGGCACCGAGGCACCGGGGGGGGGGGGACCCGGATGCGACCGCCGACCCAGAGCCGGAGGAACCACAGGCAACCACAGAGCCCCAGTCAAGGCACGCGAGGGCGAGCCAGGGGGCAGGGTGGGCGGGACCACAGTCCTGCGCCGGTGTCCCCTCCCCTTTTTGGAGACTGACAGGCGGGGTTTCGGCCAGAAGTGACCGTGCCGGGGCGAAGGACAAGGAGTCATTAGTCAGGTCCCCGAGGGGTCCCATTCAAGCTCCTCCTCTATGGAGGCAGGAGCGGGAGTCAGGCTGTCTGGGACCTCCTCAGGGACTAGGACCAGAGCTGGGGGGACTGGACTCAGGGTAGGAGTCAGAGCCGCGGGCGTGGCGGCAGGCGGTGCAGCCAGAGTCGCGGGCATGCCAGGCTGGACGGGCGAGACCTCAGGCGGGACCTCTGCCGCAGGCGGGTCAGGCACAGGCGGGTCCGGCACAGGCAGGGCTGCGGGCAGAGCGGCGGCAGCAGGCAGGGCTGCGGGCAGAGCGGCGGCAGCAGCAGGCACCTCGGGCGTGCGGCCAGCAGGGGTGCCTCAGCGGGCACCTCGGGCGTGCGGCCAGCAGGGGTGCCTCAGCGGGCACCTCGGGCGTGCGGCCAGCAGGGGGCGCCTCAGCGGGCGCCGCCGACACGTGACCAGCTGGGGGCACCTCCGCAGGCACCTCTTTACACAGCGTGTAGTTAGAGTATGGAATAGTCTTCCTGCTAGTGTAGCGGAAGCTAAAACCCTGGGTTCCGTTAAATCAGAGCTAGATAAGATTTTAACAACTCTGAGCTATTAGTTAAGTTCTCCCCAAACGAGCTTGATGGGCCGAATGGCCCCCTCTCGTTTGTAAATTTCTTATGTTCTTATATTCTAATATTCAAGTCTAGACTAAAAACACACCTGTTTAGTTTAGCTTATAGGGACACTAGTTCTAGCTCTAGCTAACTCCTCACTCCCAGTTAGACCTATAGTGTGAGGTGTAGAGCTGGGTGGGGATCAGTGCCATTGGCTTTGGATAAACTGAATTGACAGTGCTGTCACTCTAGCTTCACCATCGCTTGTGGAATTGGAGTGCTGACATTTCAGGGACTCCCCATGCCTGCATTCCCACCTGCCTCTCCCTCCTACTTATGCTGCCATAGCCATATCTGCCGGAGCTTGCACATTGCACTTCATATTGCACTCATCTTACTTTTAGCACTGCCTATAGTCTCCCCTACTTTGACTAATTGCATAGTTTATTTCCCCTACTCCTCCTGGGAGGTGCTGCCTGGAGACCTCAATCTATCAAGATGTCCAGCACACCCTGCAACATGTGACGTTGCCACTACCAATGACGTTCGTGCATCCAGCTCGCCGTTCTGCCTGTGCCATCTTCCATGTATGACCCGCTGCCTGCCTTCTGGTTGCCTGGCGATTGGAGGGAGCGTTGGCACCGGCTTGTCATCTCCCCCCTGCTCCCCGTTTGTGTCTCAAATTTTACTGTAAATTTTACTCCCTGCCGGCCCCTGGAGGATGAGCTCCCCCTTTGAGTCTGGTCCCTCCCAAGGTTTCTTCCTTCTTGGGAGTTTTTCCTTGCCACTGTCGCCGTTGGCTTACTCACTGGGGGCTTTGGGTGGGGATGCTGTAAACGCTTTGAGACGATGTAATGTTGTGATAATGCACTATACAAAAATAAATTTGTTGTTGTTGTTGATTGGGGAGCACAAGACTGGGAGGAACTTTTTACACCAATCATGAGGGAGCAGACAAGAGGCAGCTGGAGTGAGTCACATGAGGACTGAAACGAGAGGTAAAACAAATTAGTAACAGGTGTGGCTTACCGGGGGAAGAACGAGGGGGCAGGAATGTAGGGCATGACACTAAGTCAGTAAGATTAAATAATCTTGCAAAACACAAAAGTGTTCATAAATCAGACATCCACTTATTTTGCCAATATTTTATTATAGATTTTAATTACTCACTATGAAAAAGAAAAAGCACAGCTTGTATTCCCAATAAAATCTCTTTTCAATATCGTAGGTGAAGACAACAGTTTTGACAGGATTCCTCTCTTCTGTGGACCAGAATTAGTGTTACAATACTGCATACCCCCATCCTTACTCATTACAAAGGTAGTCCAAGTTTTTAACAGAACACCACCATATTAAAACTTTACACTCACTCAGGAAACTGTCAGAATGTCCTCCTTTAAGCTTTCAGCCTAGGAGCCAAGGAAAATTGGTGGTACAGTGGTACCTCAGAACTCGAATTTAATCTGTTCAGAACTCCGGATCGAATCATAAAAAGTACGAGTTCGAATTTTCCACATAAGAAATAATGGACAACCAATTAATTGGTTCCCGGCCCCAAAAAATAACACTGAAATATGTTTTTTTTTAGCATTTAAACACAAAATTAACCAGATAAAACAAGAGCATATACTGTACTAAACACATCTAAGCACATTTATCAAAACAGTAATTTGTAAAGTAAGAAAATAAATGTATCCAAACAATGTGTAAAGTAAAAAATAACAATGTGTCCTGCCCTGATCGTGCACTCCTTCCATGTGCCACGCCCCCTCGTTAACCTCGTGTGGGATCCCCGTGTGATCAGCTGTTTCTGGTTGTTGTCATCAGTCCTCTGTATTTAGTCTGCGTTTCAGTTTGTTTCCCCAGTCTGGTCATTGTATTGTCCGTCTGCATTTTGCCTGCCTTACCTCCCACATAGCAAAATTGGTATGGCCCGGATCTGGCCCACACTATGCACTTACACCCGGCCCACATACCGCAATGAATGACGGCCCCTTGGTGGCCCAGATCTGGTTTACCAGAGGTGGCCCACACATGGGCCAGCACAAAGACAGATGCAGACAAGTTGTTGGCCCTGTTCTGGCCCAGATTTGGTTTTCCAGAGGTGGCCCACACATGGGCCAGCACAAAGCCAGTTGCAGACATGCTGGTGGCCCAGATCTATTTTGCCAGAGGTGGCCCACACATGGGCCAGCACAAAGCCAGATGCAGACATGCTGGTGGCCCTGTTCTGGCCCAGAACAGTTTCAGCTCGGGCACCAAATGTCAGCCTATGTGTACCTTAATCAAGTCATGTAATAACATGCCATATTTGGCAAATTAAAAATGCCTCAACAAAGGTGATTCAGTTATACAAATATTTATTTTGAATTGAATAACTTATTATAATTAACAATATATAAAATAATACATTACATGGAAATCAATCAACATCAAATTCAAAAAACATTTAACTGTAAACTGAAACATTAACAATGCAAACACAGTTCAAACACTGAAATTTGAAAAGAAAAAAAAAACAATTAAGTCAAATTTAACATTGGAAAAACACACTGGAGCACAGTTTCACTTTCACAGATCCTTTTTCATTCTTTTACTTCGCCCGCCATTCCTATCAGGTGCATCAGGTACAGCCATTTGGTTATCTTCATCTCAACTTCTTGGTCTGTGGCATTGGAAGTGAGACGATTACGTCGCACAGCCGCTGAAACACACAAATGCAACTTTTCAAAAATTGGATATAGGCAAAAATGGCCTGCAGTATAAATCCAGCCATAGAAAATACAGTGAAAATGAGTGTATGAGGGATTCAGTAAGTCTCAAGACAAACTTACCAATCACAACATCTTTAATTTGAAGGTGCTGGAAGCCAATCTTCCCATTATGCCCTTCATGTTGACATTATTTGCAAGACTGTGAGTTAAGGTTGCACTCATGACTCTTTTCACACACTCCTTTACGTTGGCCCCACCTTTAAGAGCGAGTGCGTTTATCTGTGAATAAATATTTCTTTGTTAGTTGATCAGCAGTACAACATACACTAACTCTTTCAAATGTATGAAATTTTCAGCCAAAAAACTGAACTGGACTGATAGTCTAAGCAGTATGAGACCTATGCAATAGAAGCACAACATTTTTCATTTCTAAAGTAAAAAAAGGACCTGAGTGTTCCCATAGTTTCAACTACTTTCATAGTATGTATCTGTGGTGGCTGTCAAACCAGCTGTTAGATTATCTGTGTATTTATGTCCCAGCAACATTTAAAACATATAATCAAGAACAGGGGGTAATTTTCGTACGTTGCTTAAATCATCCGAGATCTGACACTTCATCTTGGATGAGTTAATGTCAGAGAAACTCATCTGGTACAGAGCATGTGAGTGGAGCGGTGAGAATTTCCACTCCTCGCTCACGAGGCAGTTGGCTCCACCCGCTCCTTCGCTCTAATTCGCACTAAGCCGCTCCGCTCACATGCTCTGATTTGGTATAAGTCGTTTTTTCAAACGCACTTGTGTAGTAGATTAGTCTAGCTGGATCTAATCGTCCGAGATCATTCTGTGCCTGAGCTGCTTGAAAAGCCCATATATATCAAGTCTAGAAAACATGATTGGCGTGTCTCTCACTGGCTTCTACAAAATGACCAAAAAGAATGGGCACGTTTTTTTCCCAAGCTAAGCCAGGAACTTTTATCTCGAGTTATGACAAATTCAAAGAATTAATTTGTACCAAAGGAAACAGCAAAAGCAGGTCAAACCAGAAAAGATGGCTGGCAAAAAGTGGCTGACAAAATAGATACCGAAGTAGATTTTAAGTACTTATTTGCAGTGTTACATTTAATTTTAATTTAATTTCTCATAATTCCTGATCAACCATGAACACAAACTTAAAAATTTTGATGATGGAGTTGAGCCAGTGCACCTTGAGACAGAATTATGGCTCGATATTTTCAATAATGGCGACAAGCATTGTCATTATTTAAAATATCGAGCAATAATTTTGTAATTTACTGTAAGACGATTTATTTTAGACGATTTTATACACACACACACACAATTACTAAACGAGTAATCCACATATGAAAAACACCCCCCAGGGCTAGCACTAGAAAACCATGACTCCTGAAGTTGAATTGACATTCTTACCAGTTGGTTTTTGAGGTCAGGACTATTTCTGAGCCTCTCTTCTAAATTTTCTACTGACTGGCGATCAGCTAATGGCAGCAGATTTGGTTCAACACCCATGTCTTCTTCAACTACAGATTTTAATCCCTGGACAGTTGCGAAAATAATTTTCATTTGGTCCATCATCATTTCTTGATTTGTGAGAATATTTCTCAGGAGTGCTAGGAAGAAAAAAGGTTGTGTGGAAAAGTAATTAAACATCGGATCTTACAATAATGGAATCATTCAACATCCTGTGATGACTATGAATACAATAAAATACTCACAAGTATGAAGACTGGTTTGTGGTCTCCCTAACAGTTCATGTGGCTCAGAGGAAACAGTTTCCCTCTGGCTGAGGCTGGGGGAGGCGCGGTCTCTCTGGCGGAAGCTAGGGGAGGCCCGCTCCCTCTGGTGGAAGCTAGTGGAGACACGGTCCTTCTGGCTGAGGCTGGGGGAGGTACGGTCCCTCTGGCGGAAGCTGGTGGAGGCACGGTCCTTCTGGCTGAGGCTGGGGGAGGCGCGGCCCTTCTGGTGGAAGCTAGTGGAGGCACGGTCCTTCTGGCTGAGGCTGGGGGAGGCGCAGTCCCTCTGGCGGAAGCTGGGGGAGGCGCGGTCCCTCTGGTGGAAGCTGGGGGATGCACTGTCCCTCTGGCTGAGACTGGGGGAGGCACGGTCCCTCTGGCTGAAAGTGGGGGGGGCGTGGTCCCTCTGGCGGAAGCTGGTGGAGGCCCGGTCCGTCTGGCGGAAGCTGGGGGAGGCACGGTCCCTCTGGCGGAAGCTGGGGGAGGCACGGTCCCTCTGGCTGAGACTGGGGGAGGCACGGTCCCTCTGGCTGAAACTGGGGGGGGCGCGGTCCCTCTGGCGGAAGCTGGTGGAGGCGCGGTCCCTCTGGCTGAGACTGGGGGAGGCACGGTCCCTCTGGCTGAAACTGGGGGGGGCGCGGTCCC